GTATAAAAAAAACTGAACGGATTTGAAATTGCTCTCAATTTCGAAAAACAGCTATTAGTATCCAGTTTTTGATATATATTGTTTCTTTGGGTACTTATAATGTAGAATAATAAAAAAATTTCTCGAACTCAAATTTTGTGAACCAGGGGGGGGGTGTCTTTTCCAACAAACTAAAAATGGCTTGCGCACGAAATTTAAAAGCTTTAATCATATTTTGAGTTGATAGATGGAAAATCTGTTGGGTTTTTAATTACTGTACAAAATTTCAGACAATTTGCTTTAGTTTAAGCCCCGCGTGAATAGTTAAAGGGCTTAAACTAAAGCAAATTGTAATTGTAATTAAAAACCCAACAAATTTTCCATCTATTAACTTAAAATATGATTAAAGCTTTTAAATTTCGTGCGAAAGCCATTTTTAGTTTGTAGGAAAAGACACCCCCCCTGGTTCACAAAATTTGAGTTCGAGAATTTTTTTTTATTATTCTACATTATAAGTACCCAAAGAAGCTATATATATCAAAAACTGGATACTAATAGCTGTTTTGGGAAATTAAGAGCAATTTCAAATCTGTTCAGCTTTTTTTTATACACCCTGTAGAACATGGCTGACGCAAGATACGCGGTTGGCATGGCTAAAATTTAACCTGCTGTTTTAGTTTGTGTATTTCTGCACGTCTGTTTATTTCAAAACTTCAGAGATGAAAACTCCTATCGATCCAGACAAGATCTCTGAAGAAATATTTCCAAATTTATAGACAAGCTGTCAGGAAGTTTGCTTTGAATTTTAGGTTAACCTAGGGTTAAACTAACACAGCTTTGAACAACCCGCCCCAGACTTAAAGACAACTGCTGATTTCTGCTAATGACAATAAATATTTACAACAACTATAAGCATGCGATCTTCACGATAACTTTTGAAAAACAAATATACTCAAGCTTTGTCGGAACGTTTCATCTTTCACCTTCAAATCGTTTCAACTCCAAACCTGGAATTTAAATTTTTTAAACTTAGTCCAATCCGTGGTCTGTACTGCCCCCCCCCCCCAATCCCCACCCCGGAAACTGCGGATTAAAAAGATCAAATACTTACTGGTATTTTTCAATTCTATCTCTTGTTTCCTAGCATATTTCCTGACGAAGACACATAAATCCCAAATAAAACCAAGGCTAATTATACCACTGACAACATACATCAGCATTTTACCCAATTTCAACATTAATGTTGTGTCCATTGAACCAGATGTGAGATCCTCCCGTCTTTTGATTTCGGAATAATTCGCAATCACCTGCAAAAAAAGCGAGCTTTGTTATTTCTGCCTAAACTGTTCTATCCAGAGGTCCAGGAAGGGTAATCTCTTATTGATCCAGTGTTACTACAGGAGGAAACCTAAACTGAACTAACTTTACTTATACTGGACAGTTCTATCAGTTCTAAACTGTTCTTTTTAGAGGTCCAGTAAGAATCGTCTCTTATTGATCCAGTGCTACTACAGGAGGAAACCTAAACTAAACTAACTTTATTTATACTGCACAGCTCTATCAGTTCTAAACTGTTCTTTTTAGAGGTCCAGTAAGAATCGTCTCTTATTGATCCAGTGTTACTACAGGAGGAAACCTAAGCTAAACTAACTTTATTTATACTGGATAGCTCTATCAGTTCTACACTGTTATTCCTAGAGGTCCAGTAAGGATCATCTCTTGTTGATCCAGTGTTACCACAGGAGGAAACCTAAACTAAACTAACTTTATTTATACTGGATAGCTCTATCAGTTCTAAACTGTTCTTCCTAGAGGTCCAGTAAGGATCATCTCTTATTGATCCAGTGTTACTACAGGAGGAAACCTAAACTAAACTAACTTTATTTATACTGGATAGCTCTATCAGTTCTAAACTGTTCTTCCTAGAGGTCCAGGATAAGAATCATCTCTTAAACTAACTTTATTTATACTGGATAGCTGCATCACAAAGCAGACAATACTCGCCTTTAAAGTTTGTTCCTGAACAAAGCTGCTTAAACAGAAATAAAAATGCTCATGGCCAGTGACAGAGTTAAGATGTAGAGGATAAACCAAGACTAAACCAAGTTGAAACGGTTGGTCGAGTATTTTAGCGACATAGAGATGTTCTTGCATGATATCCACTTTGGTTTCCATCATTAGGAAATGTATAAAATGAGGAAATAACAATCTGTCTATCTCTTTGTTTAGCAAGGCCTCCGCCATACGCTCGGCGTTGCTAAAGTCTAGACGTGAAGAAAAGCGGACCAAATGACCGATGTTCTAAATTCTCAACATCAAAGTGTCAGCACCATTGAACTATAAGTAAACTGGAAGGCTAACTCGGGGAGGGGGAAATTGAAGGCAGTTGCATGCATTTTAGTTTTTCTGAGTTATGAGCAGAAATACTCAACACTGAACGTTGTGCTGTAATTATGAAACTGAAGCTATTGGAAAACGCTATTTGGTGTAGAAATTTCAAGACTTTAGCTGAAAGGAAAATATACAAAAACTACAAAAATAATTGCCGATAATTTTTCATTTTCTGGCCGAATGGCAGTTGTTTTTGTATTTGAAATTTCCACACCGAATAGCAATTTTCAATAGCTTCAGTTTGATATACAGCCCAACATTTGGGATCAAGTATTTCTGCTCATAACTCAGAAAAACTATTTTGGCTTCAGCAAATCATAGGCCTTCATCATAGCAGTTAGCCGTCCAGTTTATTTATAGTTCAATGGTAAACACTTACCAACGATCTCCGCTCCCAAGTTCATTTCACGCTCAACAAAATCTTTGCTGTTAAGTGTTCCGATCTGAAAAAGAATTCACATAAACGAGCTTGGTAAAGTAACAAAGTGGGAATGTGATAATCATCCTGACCTAAGCTCAATTACGAAGGACCTCATTGAGTCGAAGGCTTTCTAAGGACGCCTCTGGCAGCCTTTTTTCACTTTTTCGAAACGTTTCTCAATCGGCAAACAAACTTAAAAAGTATGTTTAGTGCTTTATCTGTAAAATAATGCTAAAATGAAGAGATTTTAGATGATACGCCAAAGAGAAAATGATGTCTGAAGTTCAGTAAGTTTTGCTTATACTGCTGTAAATATGGCGTCAATTTTAAAGCATCATTGATAATTATATTATAATTGACAATTTTTTACTATTATTTTATGTTTCTCAACCGGCAGATGCATTTAAAAAGGTTGCTAACTGTATAAACTAAAGAATAATGCTAAAACAAAGTAATTTTGGAAGGAACGCCAACAATATTTTAGGTTTTGAACACTTTTCATTGCAAATACGTGACAATGAAAACAATTGCCTCTTAATTAGAAAAATAATGTCACCTTAAGCCCAATAGTTCCCTGTATCTTAGCGAGATGTTGTGTCGCGATGATCGACGTGGTGTTGGCGGCAACCAAGGCGAGCATTATATAACTAAATAGCATCCACACGATCGTCAATAATCTGGCGAAGAAACTCTTGGGTGCTTTATCTCCATAACTGAAATATGAAAACACTATAAGATATTTATACGTTGGGCGGTAGAGAGCGCAGTTTCATACTAGAGACGGGTTGTCAGTCTTAAGATTGATGAACTGTCAAACTCACCCTACAGTTGTCATAGTAACAACAGCCCACCAAAATCCTTCAAACACTCCCCGAACAAATGGACGTGGAAATTCTTCCGCATTATTCCAGTGCTCCTGAAATGAGAAAATGTCTCTCCCATTTGATAGTACGTTCCTTATAGAGAAACATCAACTAAACTAGCTTTATTTATATTGGATAGCTCTATCAGTTCTAAACTGTTCTTCCTAGAGGTCCAGTAAGGATCATCTCTTATTGATCCAGTGTTACTACAGGAGGAAACCTAAACTAAACTAAACTAACTTTATTTATACTGGATAGCTCTATCAGTTCCAAACTGTTCTTCGTTGAGGTCCAGTAAGGATCATCTCTTATTGATCCAGTGTTACCACAGGAGCAAACCTAAACTAAACTAACTTTATTTATACTGAATAGCTCTGTCATTTCTAAACTGTTCTTCTTAGAGGTCCAGTAGAAAGGATCATCTCTTATCAGAACTTACCAAAAACCAAACCACCAGACCAAACACCAACGCAAATCCAAAGAGGAGTATCAACAGTGGCAACGAAGGCCTCAATATCTCCCAGGGGTCAGGCCCAAACTTCGCCTCTGTTCTCAGCATGACGACAGCATGACCGGGGGACCTTACCATCGGGAGAAAAATCCTCGGATATGCGTAAACTTTCGTTGCACCTTTGTCGGAAAACTCGGGAAAATAGAAGATAAACTTTTTGGGATCAATTGTATTGTTGCGCGGACGAAAGGTATAAAGAAACACGTCACGTTGGGCTAAAGTGCTTATCGGGTATTTGGCTTCGCTATTTCCAAAACGTACAAAACTTACGTTGACATTAGGGCAGCACGCTGTAACGGCTTCGTTTATAATTCTCACAACAATGCCATTTCTGTCAACCTCCTGTTTTTCAGAGCCATTGACTCCGCTTAAATAAATAGCATAATAATTGCGGAATCGAATTTCGACCTCGCTTACATTTCGACAATATTCAAACGGCAATCGGAAACCACTATCGCCACCAACACGACTGAAAATCATGCACAAAATTATAAATACTGACGCCGATTTACTGCCACGCTCAAAATCACACATATTTGATATTTTGTCGATACGTTGCGACTTCAACGTATATTCTACATACACACGTCTTAGCCTTGAGGAGTTTTTCAGGCACTGAATAAATGTTTCCAAAGACAGGTGAAATTGGCGATTGCCTTTTATTGCAATTCAGCCCTTCCTGTAGTTTAATTAAAGGCAATTAAGCATAAACGATGTTTATTGGCGTGATTAAAATGAGTTGTCAAAACGACAGGGTTTTTAATGAAATAAAATTAAATTGAAGATGAATTTTTCAAAACAAAAGATAATTGACATTGGCGAAAATTACAGAGTTGCCCCTTAGCCTAATATAAAGCATCAGATTGAATGAACCCGAGTTGACAAGCGAGAGTTTTCTCAACTTTCATTGCTTGATCAAACGAGAACAAGAGTTACATGAGAGTTGACAAGCGAGAGTTTACATGAGAGTTTTCTCAACTTTCATTGCTTGATCAAACGAGAACAAGAGTTGCATGAGAGTTGACAAGCGAGAGTTTACACGAGAGTTTTCTCAACTTTCATTGCTTGGTCAAACGAGAACAAGAGTTGCATGAGAGTTGACAAGCGAGAGTTTACATCAGAGTTTTCTCAACTTTCATTGCTTGGTCAAACGAGAACAAGAGTTACATGAGAGTTGACAAGCGAGAGTTTACATGAGAGTTTTCTCAATTTTCATTGCTTGGTCAAACGAGAACAAGAGTTACATGAGAGTTGACAAGCGAGAGTTTACATCAGAGTTTTCTCAACTTTCATTGCTTGATCAAACGAGAACAAGAGTTACATGAGAGTTGACAAGCGAGAGTTTACATGAGAGTTTTCTCCACTTTCATTGCTTGGTCAAACGAGAACAAGAGTTGCATGAGAGTTGACAACAATGAATAAGAATACAAACATATATTATATTTCACCATATACAAACATGCCCTTTAATAACAACAATTATATTAACTTGTTCTATTTATGAATTCTCTGATGTGCTAAGAAGTCGCACAAGTCTTTGAACGTAGCGTCACATTTATTACAGTTATACATAGATGGCTTCTTCTTGATTGGTAAATTTTGGCGAACACTTTGAGTTGAGATTTCTTCGTTCAAACTATTGCTAAAACTTCCGTCCTGTATTCCCGAATTCTCATTCACGATAGTTTTAAAACATTCATCTCCTCCACCAAATTTTCGCTTTCTAAGTCTACTTGCTCCAAAGTCTTCACCAAAATCTGAACTGTCTTCTGACCCAGAGTTCAAACAACGTTTCTGTACTCTAGATCTTTCGTCTCCTCCACTAATCTTTCTCTTTGTAGGTTTAATTCGTCTAAATCCTTCACGAAACTCTGAATACTCCTTATTCCCCAAATCATTCTCAAAGGCGCCTCGCTCTTGTTGTAAAGTTTCTTCGCTAAAACCCTCGATGCCAGGATTCTTATTTTCGCTCACAACGTTTTCGATCAAACGGGTCCCCTTGTGTTCTTTCCTGTTATGACGAACAAGCCCCGAGCGAAATTTGAACGCCTTTCCACAAAGTGCACAAGCAAAAGATTTGACGTCGGTGTGCTTGTATGCGTGTTCTCGTAGTTCAGAACGTTTCCAAAACGTTCTAGGACACTGAAAACACCTGTGAATCTTTTTATCCTTCAAATATTCCAGATGATAAGCATCAAAATTATTTTGCGTGATGTCCAGATTTTGGTCTTTCATTTCAGAACTACTTTGTTCCTGCAGAATTCTGTTCTTCGCCCTTTCAAGGCGGTCGTGGACAAAATTCTCTTGCGTCGTGTCCAAATTTGTTTCTTGTTGTTGATTTTCATGGAACTTGCGTTTAAAAGTACTCTTTTCCTGCATGAAAAATTTCCCTTCCTTTGACGTAGTCGCAACATCACCAACTTGCCGCTTGTCCGTTGTTCTTTTTTCAACGTTATTCTGCTCACAATTTTTTTCTGTAAAATTAATATCTTTATACAAAACTTCGTTTACAATTGATCCAGGATTGACTTTCCCCACTGTAGAACACTCACTGTTGTTCGCTACTCTTTCATCGGACATTTTTCTAACACTTTTCCTACCCAGTCCATAATGCTGTTCTTTGACATGCCTGTTCAGCGAACCTTTATACTTAAATGTCTGCTGACAAAACTCACACGTAAACGACATCTCATCACTATGTATACGTTTATGCTTCCGTAATGCGGTTCGATTTCGAAACATTTTCGGACAGTCCTCACACTTGAACACTTCAACTTCACTGCATCTCTCCATTTTAAGATGACTTTGTTGAACTTTGCTTTCCTCGGAAACATTTGGTTGTACGTTTTCAAGCTTTTCATCGTAAACATCAACATTATCGTGCTCCAACTTTCGTTTTTCCTGCTCAATTTCTTGCAATCTCTGTTGAAAATCATTCTCCTTGTTCTGTGTGGTATGATTCTGTTCGTGTTCACTCGTTTCTTTTATTTCAAAATTACTCTGCTCAGAATTTTCGTCTTTATAATCATTGTCGACTTCTTTTACAGTTTCTCCCAAACTGTTTTGAAGATGATCTTTTCTAAGTGAAGAACAACCATTTTCACTACCTTGCTCCTCATCGAATATCAACCTTGGTTCACAACTTTTTTCTTTCAAATTACCGTCATTATTGTCGTTCAAAATTGCTTTAGGGTTACTGAATTCATCAGGAAGATTAACGTTCTTCTGTGAAGAACAACTGTTCGCATTATTTTGCCTTTCACTGGACAGCACCCTTGAACTCTTTCTCCTCATACCATAATGTTGTTCTTTAACATGACGACACAGGGAAGGTTGGTGCTTGAAATGCTTCCCACAAAAGTCACAAGAAAATTCTGCACGTGAATTCTCAAATTTATCGTCATGGGCATTAAAACTATCTTGCTTACTGTCCAATTGTCTTTCTTCTTGGTCAATTTCTTGCAAATCGTGTTCAAAACTGCATCCATTCTTGTTTAAATGATCATTTTCTTGTGCGAAACCTTCCTGCGCCATAGTTGCATTATTAGTTTGTTCATCATCAAAATTATCTTGCTGACTCTCTGAAGTTCTTTCTTCTTGATCAATTTCATCCAAAACGTTTTCAAAACTGTTCCCCTTGATGAAATTATCCTTTTCTGAATGTTCATTTTCATCACTTTCTTTCATTTCTGAATGTTCATTTTCATCACTTTCTTTCATTTCAAAATCACTTTGCTCCACCTCAAACGCTTCTTCCCTAACATCGTTGATACCTTGACTTGCAATGAATTTCACACTTGGATTAATATTTCTATCTTTAGAATCACCGTCCCTGTAGTCAACTTTCTTCATTGGTCCAAAACTATCAACTCTGTTCCGGGGACTGTCTTTACCACTTGAAGGCAAACAATCTACTTTTCCTTGGTTTTCATCAGGGACCATTTTTGAACTCTTTCTTCTCAGACCATAATGTTGTTCTTTAACATGACGACACAGGGAAGGTTGATGCTTGAAATGCTTCCCACAAAAGTCACAAGAAAATTCTACACGTGAATTCTCAAATTTATCGTCATAAGCATTAAAACTATCTTGCTTACTGTCCAATTGTCTTTCTTCTTGGTCAATTTCTTGAAAATCATGTTCAAAACTGCGTCCATTCTTGTTTAAATTATCATTTTCTTGTGCAAAACCTTCCTTCATCATAGTTGCATCATTAGTTTGTTCATCATCAAAATTATCCTGCTGACTCTCTGAAGTTCTTTCTTCTTGGTCAACTTCATCCAAAACGTTTTCAAAACTGTTCTCCTTGATGAAATTATCCTTTTCTGAATGTTCATTTTCATCACTTTCTTTCATTTCAAAATCACTTTGCTCCACCTCAAACGCTTCTTCCCTAACATCGTTGATACCTTGACTTGCAATGAATTTCACACTTGGATTAACATTTCTATCTTTCGAATCACCGTCCTTGCAGTCAACTTCGTTCATCGATCCAAAACTATCAACTCTGTTCCGGGGACTGTCTTTACCACTTGAAGGCAAACAATTTACTTTTCCTTGGTTTTCATCAGGCACCATTTTTGAACTCTTTCTTCCCAGACCATAATGTTGTTCTTTAACATGACGACACAGGGAAGGTTGGTGCTTGAAATGCTTCCCACAAAAGTCACAAGAAAATTCTACGCGTGAATTCTCAAATTTATCGTCATGGGCATTAAAACTATCTTGCTTACCGTCCAATTGTCTTTCTTCTTGGTCAATTTCGTGCAAATCATTTTCAAAACTGCGTCCATTCTTGTTTAAATTATCATTTTCTCGTGCGAAACCTTCCTTCGCCATAGTTGCACCATCAGTTCGTTCATCATCAAAATTATCTTGCTGACTCTCCGAAGTTCTTTCTTCTTGGTCAACTTCATGCAAAACGTTTTCAAAACTGTTCTCCTTGATGAAATTATCCTTTTCTGAATGTTCATTTTCATCAATTTCTTTCATTTCAAAATCACTTTGCTCCACCTCAAACGCTTCTTCCCTAACATCGTTGATACCTTGACTTGCAATGAATTTCACACTTGGATTAACATTTCTATCTTTCGAATCACCGTCCTTGTCGTTAACTTCGTTCATTGATCCAAAACTATCAACTCTGTTCCGAGGACTGTCTTTACCACTTGAAGACAAACAGTTTACTTTTCCTTGGTTCTCCTCAGGGACCATTTTTAAACTCTTTCTTCCCAGACCATAATGCTGTTCTTTCACATGTCGAGTCAGCGAACCTTTGTGCTTGAAACATTTCCCACAAATCTCACAAGTAATTTCTGAGGGTAAATTTTCAAGGTTGTCGTGACATGCATCAAATTGATATTGTCTATTGGCTAAAGTCCCCTCTTCTTGTTGCGTTTCTTGCAAACTGCTTTCACCTTCATCTAAATTATCATTCTCCTGCATGTAAACATCCCCTTCCATTAACTTAGTTGCATCATTACTTTGTGCATCATCAAAATGACCATGCTTGGTATTCAAATGTTTTTCTTTCACTTTCGTATTACTTTGCTCCAATTTCTCATCGTTCTTAGTTGATCCAAAGTTATTCACTTTCTTTTGTGAAGAATAAATGTTATTATTTCCCAGTGTTTTATCAAATATCATACTTGGATCGAAACTTTTTTCTTTAAAATTAACGTCTCTGTTGTCACCTTCATTCAAAATTGCTCCATAATTATTAACTCCTTTTTGAGAACTATATTCCGTCTTCGAAGAACAACTGTTGTCATTTCCCGGCTTTTTATCGCATATCATTCTACGATTAATAATTATTTCGTTAGAATTACTCTCTTCACAGTGAACGTCTTTTATAATTTGTTCTTCTTTGTGAAGGCTATCTCTTTCTTGTGTAGAACAACTGATATTATTTCCAAGGCTTTTATCGAGTGCCATCTTTACGCTCCTCCTCCCTAAACCATAATGTTGTTCTTTGACATGCCTAGACAATGATCCCTTGTACTTGAAATACTTCCAACAGAACTCACAAGTAAATGACATGTCATCGTTGTGCGTGAGCTTATGATTCCACCAAGTAGATCGTTTTATATATTTTTGACACACGTCGCACTGATAGAGTTTATCTTCGCCACCTCTCTGTATGTTGACCAACGCATTAGTAAAACACTCATTCGAGGCTCCAGTCGGTCTTGATTTCACTTCAAAGATATTTTCTCCTTCCTCAGAATGATCTTCACCGAGTTCAAAACTGTCTTCCTCCAAATTCCTTCTATTAGTTCCACTTTCTGCTTGCCTTAAACTTTCTTGAACTTCAAAATCACTTTCTCCATACTTACAAGTTTCAGTGTTTATCGTATGAGACTCAGTGGAATTATCCATGTTTTCAAAACTACTTTCATCCTGAGAAGACAAACTCTTTTCACCTCCTTGTCCTCGATCAAATACCATACTCACATTATTTTCTTCTTGCTCTAAACTGTTTTCTCCAAAATCATATTCTCCATATATGAAAGTTTCATTATCTCTCGCGTTTCGCTCATTGGTATTATAAACATTTTCAAAACTTATTTCATCTTGAGAAGACAAACTCTCTTCATCTTCTTGTCTTTCGTCAAATATCATACTTAGATTATTTTGCTCTTGCTGAACATGTTTTTGAACTTCAGCGTTATTTTCCTCATTCTCAAAACTAGATTCATCTAGTGGGGCGACGGTCTTTCCATCTTGTCTGAAATTAACATTTTGCCCTTTGTCTAAACTTTTTCTACGAGTTTCTTTATTCTCTAAATCTTCATGTTGCTTCAACAAATCCTGATCATCATTTCGAGATTTCATCTTTTCCCAAGAAGAACAATTCTCATTTCTTTCATCGACTACCTTGCTCAGACTCTCCCTGTGTCCAACTTCATCCTTGTTCTGCAAACTTTTCTTCAAGCTTACCAAACACTCATCATTATCAAACTTGGTCTTTTCCAAAGACGAACTATTCTCTAGTTCATTCCTCTCATCCACCATCATGCTAAAACTCTTTCGTCCTTGGCTGTAATGCCGTTCTTTCCAATGTCTAAAAACTCCATCATTAGATTCATCTACGTTCATTAAATACATATCATCATTCCTAAACTCGATCTTTTCCACAGAAGAACAATTCTCGGGCTCTTTTCTCGGTTGTCCATCAATCACCATACTGAAACTCTTTCTTCCTTGACCATAATGCTGTTCCTTCACATGTCTGTTCAGTGAACCTTTGTATTTGAATGTTTGTTGACAAATTCCACAAGTAAACAACTTTTCATCGCTGTGGGTGCGCCGGTGAATGGCCAATCTTGATGGTTTTGCAAATATTCTCGGACACTCCTGACATTTATACACTTTAGAATCACCACAGTTTTGTGTATTAAATGGTGGTGTTACATTTGGATAACATTCACTAAAGATTCCACTTGGTCCTGGATTCATTTCAAAGTTCAATTCTATATCATTTTCTTCGCATTCCACAGCATTATTTCGCTTTAAATATTTTTCCTCAATCTCAAAACTATTTTTATCTTTTCTGAACATTTCTCCTCTAATATTACTTTCTGTAGATTCACGATGCTCGTTTTCTTTAAAACTGTCCTGATCATTCCCTTTCTGTAAATAAGAACGTTTTTCTTGTCCTTGTCTTGGTGTTTTAAGATCTGTCGTTGCTGCATCAGAATGTTGCTTTACAAAATTATTTTCTTTATAATTTTCATGTCTGTTTTCATACACAACCATCTGATAATCATTGCTAGTCTGATGGTTTACATCATCCAATGACGAACCGCATTCTACTCGTCGTCTTGATGTTTTCAGATCTGTCTTTGGTTTGTCAAAATGTTGCAGTCCAAAATTCTCTCCTTCTTTCACACTATTCTCCTCCTCTCCTCCGTTTACATCGTCCTGTAATGAACTGTATTCCAGCCCCTGCAATTCCTCACATAGTGTAGTTTTAACATCAGTTGTCTCTCCACCAGAATGCTGTTGTCTCATGTGTCGAGTAAGTCCTGATTTAAACTTAAACGTCTTCGCACAAATATGGCAAGAGTGCGATCGTTCATCACTATGCGATTGTTGGTGAATAAGAAGTTTGGAGCGTATGCGAAACACCTTATTGCATTCTGAACATTGGTGAATTTTCCTTTGACTGCACGTTTGGATGTGCTGTTCCAGTGACGAATCTGGAAAAATACTCCGACAATATTGACATCTCTTTACATTCTCTTGATCATTGCCTGCAGTTTGATTGGCTACGTTTCCACTACATGTTTGTGCGTGCAGTTCCACTAACGAGTAAGGAAAAACTGTCTCACAGTACGGACACTTGGTTAAGCTGTGTTCTCTACTATCTATACTTGCACGTTCTTGTTCCTTCGATGCAAGATTACGCTCATCTTCATCGATAACACGATTCCCATACGATATTTGGTTGCTAGCAATCAAATTTCCAGATGTTCCATCGCCTTGTTCTTTCACTAGAATGTCTCGTTCACTTTGTGAATGAGTAGTGTTGTATAAAATCAATATTTCGCCATTTTGTTCGTATCTACTATTCATTAATTTAGACAGCATCGCAATAATTTACTTAACATGTCAATTTTTTTACTTTCTAAAACTAAATTTTTTTATATGAACCTGACTGGATGTTCCAATCAGCCATTTTTGATAGATTTAGCCATCATCATTTCTTCATATTTATAATCTGTAAATCAAACAATAGCACCAGTGTTAAAATTGCATTAAATACATACATACATACATACATATATGTATATTTATTATTAGTAGAGAGTGAGATACTGAAAAATACACAGTGAGATATTTTCCATATCTTCACTACAGTAGTGAAGATATCGATCACGTGACTTTAAGTATTTATACAATTTTTTGCTTGGGACTATATAATAAACAGAACATTACACATTGGTTTTAAGATATGATTTTTATCTTCTCGTGTTATAAACAATATTTTACTCACTCGCTGCGCTCGTTCGTAAAATATTGTTTTCACCACTCGAAGATAAAAAGTCATATCTTCATGCCGCCGTGTAATATTCTCTCTATATATGATGATGATATATGAAAGATATACATATATGCCACCTGATTGGATGAGACAAGTTGTTGTGGTAGGCTGGTAGCCTTTTGAGTTAACATACTATATATCTGCTATAATATAATATAATATAATATCTTCGATTATATAATATCTACATATAATCAAAGATATATAATAATATAATATATAATAATTTATATTATAGCATTTGTAACTCATGTTGATGTCTGTATGTCAACACGTAAAATGTTTTATATTTAACAAATATAAAACATTTTCTGTGTTGATATACAGTTATATCAACACAAGTGGAAATTGGGAAAACGAAAAATTGTGTGGGCGAAGGGCAGAGTGTTTTCACACAATTTCAAGTTTTCCCAATTTCCACTTGTGTTGATATAACTATATATCAATACGTAAAAAATGTTTTATATTTATTTTAGAATATAGCACAAAGAAATATGAAGAAACAAATTTTCCGACGTTTCCATGTTGACATTCAGTTATATCAATACGGCTCTTAGCCAATCAGCGTTCAGATTTTACAAATGCTATATTATAATTGTTAAATATAATATAATATCTATAATATAATATCTATAACAGAACATATATAAAATATATCTATATCAAAGATATATCATCTATATCGAAAATAAGCTATATCAAAGATGATATATCTTCCATATAACTTGATGCTCTAACAACATGGTTGCTCATGTTGTAAATAGTACCTATACATTTAAAATGGATTAATATATTTATTGTTGATTTCAAGTCACTTTTCAACGCGCTGTTCCCAAGTTCGTTGCAAACTTGTCAATTACGTTTCCAAGTTCAAAAATTGGGTGTGAACTTTGCAACAAAGTTCGCAAGTACGCTTCAATGTTTGAACTATTGTAAACAAATGTTCATAGTTCAAGTTGAAATTAACAATTCAATGGAAAGTTCTCGGTCCAGTGGACTACCAAGAAGGTTTGTATTTCATTGAATTGGTTATTATTACTGAGTATGAACATTTGTTTACAAGCGAAGTTCAAACATTGAAATGAATTTGCGGACTTTGATGTGAAGTTTGTGCCCCATTTACGAACTTGGAAATGTAATTGGCAAAGTTCACAACAAACTTGGGAACCGTGTGTTGAAAAGTGACTTGAAATCACCATTAAAGTGGATTCACTGTATACTTTAACATGATATTTGTGATATAATTTATTCAATCTTGTACAATAGTTAATATTAACCAAGTGGGCGGTGATCAATTTCACCCATGCTTCACAGTAGGATTTTCACTATAAAGAGCTACCAACCACCCGTTATTCCGTTAATACTCTTCAAACCCACCAATATTTTAAAGGAATACCTTCAAATAGTACATAGAAATGATCTAAATACATATATATTGTAATGCATGCTGTCGTGGTTTGGCTCTGAAATTCCTGAAAACGATTAAAATTTAAAGTTCTTCAGGTACGTGGTCGAGTGGTTGACCGTGGCTCAGAGGACAAATTACGGGTATTTTAAAACATCAAATACATCCAAAATCAATCGCTACTCACAAAATAACAACAGTAGATGAAACCGCAATCCAAGGACGAACCAAAACCAGTACTTCAGAGAAGAAATAGCACTTCAGTTGTCAAAAAATGAAACAAAAATATAAAAACATTCTTTGTTTTCACGTTTTTCAGCGGCCATCTTGAACCCGATTCGCTTGCCAGGGCCAGCCGTCAAAAATGTCCCCAATTTGTCGACAAGCAAAGCATGTTCTTTCCAGAGCAATTTTTAAAATTTTGATGTTTATTTCTTGTTAAAAACGACCTAAAACTGTTCCAAATCGTGAAGATAGAATGGGAAAGGAGTGTAAGACAAAACCTGCAAAAAGCAAAGAGCGAAAGGCGAAGAAAATAGTCCAACCGAAGCCAAAAACCGATGCTGAAAAAAAGTACATCTGCCATGCGTGTTCCAAGGGTTTCGACAGACCGTCGCATTTGGCTCGTCACGAGCGCACACATAGCGGGGAACGTCCTTTTTCCTGTGAATCTTGTGATAAAACATTCAAAGATAAGTCTCATTTGGTTTCGCATAAAGAAACGCACAATTCAGAAAGAAATTTCACTTGCAGTGATTGTGGAAAAGCATTCCAGACATCATCTACTCTCCATAGTCATAGAAAAACGCATGCCGAAGAGAAAGAGAAGGCAAGAAAGCATCAATGCGAGACGTGCCTGAAAGTGTTTTCATCGAAGTGCGATCTAACGAGGCACGAACGAGTCCACACTAACGAACGGCCGTATAAATGTGAGTTCTGCGACAAGAGTTTTAAAATGATGTCACACATGAAACGACACGTGAGGATTCACACTAACGAGCGACCATATCAATGTCCCGATTGCAAGAAACGGTAAGAGTCTGGGACTGGATGCATCCGACGGATGATGTCTCTTGACGGATGTCCGTCAACCATTTGCACACATGAGACAGATAATCCCTCTATGCGCACGAGCCAAGCTGAAAGGTTTGCTTGGCCGCAGTAGGAATTAAACCCGAGACCATTGGTTTCCTAGTTCAATGCTCTACCAACTGAGCTAGGAGGACTGGAGGTTTGACTGGGTGATATCACAGAACACAATCTGTTTCCTTCAATATCAATAGATTGAGATCTTGAAGAGCACCTTGAGAAAACCTGAGCAGAGTCAAACTGGAAGCACTCTTCTCACATGTGACTGAGGTGAAATTATAGTGAGACAACTGCATATTGTAGGAATGAAACCTCAGTCACAGAGATGAACTTAGACACATGCACTACAGAAATGATTTAATTTTACAATGTTTCTATTTCAGTTTCAAACAGTCTGTTGCGTTAGTCCAACATCAACGCATACACTCGGGAGACAGACCGCATGCTTGCACGTACTGTAGCAAGTCCTTCACGCAAGTCACCCATTTGATAAACCATGAACGAACGCACACAGGCGAAACACCATTTGTTTGTCAGGTATGTCATCACGGCTTCAAGCAAGCGTCGGGATTACTTTCTCATGCCAGGACACATGAAAACATTAAAGCGTACGAGTGCGAGTTCTGCTCCAAGTCGTTCGCTACTGAGAAAGGGTTACTGAACCACGAAACAGTCCACAGTGAAGAGAAGCGTCACAAATGTCTGCAATGCAAACGCACGTTCGCTCGTGAAGCAAATTTGGCATTGCACATGAAAACGCACAAGGCGACGGACGCAAATGAAACGATGCCCTATGCTTGTGGGACTTGTAAAAGACATTTTGAAACAGAGGTGTTGTTGCTAGCTCACAAAGCTTTGTGCATGGTAGGGAAGCCGTTTCGATTCATGGCTTACGATGATATGTTTCCTCAATCCAACCAGGTTGCGAATCTCGGCGAGCCAAGTGGCGCTTGTGCTGCAGAGGTTGTCGTCACTATCGATAGCTCTGGAGATATTGACAGTGTAGAAATATCGGCACTTGTTAACGAGAATGAACAGTCGATGACTACAGACACTACAGTATAAACAATGAATATATTTTGTTGGTAAATGCACTTGTAGTTTTTGTAATTTAGTGATATTAATTGATTCTAGCTGTACATACAAATGGCTTAATAATAGTAATAAAATATATTGAAAGTTAATTAATTTGTCGATTTACATTCTCAGACATTCCAACTCTCCCGATTTTACCGGGAGTCTCCCGAAAATTCATGCAATCTCCCGGTCTCCCGATTTTTATCAAATTCTCCCGATTTTTCAGAATATTCAGGAAATATCATAAAAAATTATAAATATACTGTTTTTAGCAACATAATAGTCTGTCTTGACCTTTTTTGAAGTTGCTTTATGGCAATTTATAGGATCACTTATAACAACATATTCCCAAAATGCAGGAAACGCCATTTCAGAAGACTTAATTTTTATTACTTTTTCCCAGAAGAACTAGATTTCAATTCACTGAACAGTCTCCCTAATTTTTACCTCCAGTGGTTGGAATGTCTGCATTCTAGGAATCTATAAAGCTTGACTTTGCAATTGTTCTCAATTCAGTTTGTCCCTAGAGATCAGTGGATGAAATGACAAGCGGCCATTTTGAATTTTGAAAACCACATATTTTTAAAAAATTTTCGTTATAAATCCTCTTTGACAAGTTGAAACTGACCTGTTTACTTAGTCTAATTTTAGTATTTCCTAAATTATTTTGATATACATAACAAATAGTTGTTAATGATCTGTTTCCACTAAAATATTGACTAATGATTAATGCAAAACGGAGCTAATTATAATTTCGGATTCCGGCATTCAAAACCCCGGTAACATAACTCGTATTTTCAAAATGGCGTCCAGAAATGGTACGTGTCATTTTAAACTTTTAATGTTTTTTATATGAAAATTTTAAGCTATTTTGCCACAAATAACCGTCTTTGTGATATTATCCCAGCTTCAAGCAGTAGCTGTATGTTATAGGTGTGCATTTCATGTACATTTTGTACTGAGAAAAACAAGCTACTTTCCTTCAATAAATAATTCAATTCTGTGTCTTCAAAGGTGCACGTAAAAGTGAAGAAGAAAATTTGCTAGCAGAAAATGATCGAATGTTGGATAACTTGGCTGGGAAGGTTTCGAGACTCAAAACTGTGAGTTTACTTTGAATTTAGCATATTTTGCTGTTAGTTGAAGGTTTGAGACACAACACTATGGCAACGTGTTATCTAACACTGGTCAAATGAACTTTGCTTAGATTGCTGTTGATATAAAGCATGATGCTGATAACCAGAACCAATATTTGGATGGCATGGTATGAAATATTAGTATAGTGTTATAAAGTATAGTACTGGGATTACCATCATCACTACTACCATCATCTGATTATCATTACAGCCATCATCACCACTACCATCACCACCATGATGTTCACCACCACTTCTATCATGACCATCATCTGATCATCACCATCAATCCACATCACCATCATCTTCATCACTATCATTATGACCATCAATCTATCATCATCAACAATCCATCATTATCAACAACAATCCATCATCACCATCAATCCAGCATCTTCATCACTATCATCATCACTATCATTACCAGTCCATCATCTTCATCACCATCAATCCATCATCATCATCACCATCAATCCATCATCATCATCAATCCAGCATCTTCATCACTATCATCATCACTATCATTACCAGTCCTTCATCTTCATCACCATCAATCCAGCATCTTCATCATCAATCCATCATCTTCACCATCATCATCATCAATCCATCATCTTCATCATCATCAATCCAGCATCTTCATCATCATCAATCAATCCATCATCTTCACCATCATCATCATCAATCCATCATCATCATCATCAATCCAGCATCTTCATCATCATCAATCAATCCATCATCTTCATCATCATCAATCCATCATCATCATCAATCCATCATCTTCATCATCATCAATCCAGCATCTTCATCATCATCACCATCAATCCAGCATTTTCATCACCATCATCATCACCATCAATCCATCATCTTCATCATTATCACCATCAATCCAGCATAGATCTTCATCACTATCATCATCACTATCATCATCACCATCTTCATCACCAGCACCATCAATGATCATCACCACCCTCAGCACAATGACTACCATCATAACCTCCTATTTCCACCATAGGATGACCAGTTTGGCAGTGCAGGAGGTTTACTCAAAGGCAGCGCACAGAGACTACAGAAAGTGATCACAGCAGCTGGCTCAGACAGGAAGTGCATGTGTTATATGGTGCTAGGACTTGTGACTGTATTCTTTATATTATATTATGGCTTGGCATGGATCAAGACATGACCTAACACATATATTGTAATATAGTGTAAAATTTAGTTGAACAATTTACAGTAAACTGGAGGAGATAGTTTGGAAACTCGTCAGAGGAAACTTGTGCAAAAATATATGGTCCTTCATAAATCATTGTCTTGTCACATGCGTTTTTCATATTTTTGCCAAATCCACCAACAGCAATTTTTAAGTTAGTCACAGATTACTAACTTTCCTAAAACATTGCTATTGGTTAGTTGGGCAAAACGTGACGATCATATTTTTGCATAAACGTTGACTAACATAGATGATGAGTTATATTGGTAATATTGTTATTCTAATGAGTCTCCAAACCATTTCTTCTATTAACTGCGGAATAATGTATATAAAGCACAATTTGACCAACAAAAAGATCACATGAAATCAATATATATTCATCATAATTTCAGCGGATTAATTACATTTAAAACTATCATATTCATACTGTCTATTATGTTTAATTGCTAACCATGTATGCATAAAAATGGTGCAAGTGGATAAAATTTCTGAACCTTACCACGATAAAGTTGGCTGCGCGTAAAATTTCGGTGTTCATAAAATCACAAGTCATTATACTATATTTTCGATGGTTAAAATTTCTAAATTTCTCATTATAAATTACTTTTAGCCAGCTTATTTTTTAATGCGGATGATATTTTGTCCAAGAACTCGAAAGTATTGAGATAATCCGATCGAATGACGTTCTGAATGCCTTTAATACATCCTGCTAAATCTTTTGTCATAAAACCTGATTCAATCGTCTCCACGCATGCCTCCTCTAACGTCACACAGAAATTCTTCAATGCGTTGTTAGCTAAGAAATAAAAACAGTCATCTAAATTAACTAACTTTATTTATACTGAATAGCTCTATCAGTTCTGTTCTCCCTAGAGGTCCAGTAAGGATCATCTCTTATTGATCCAGTGTTACTACAGGAGGAAACCTAAACTAAACTAACTTTATTTATACTGGATAGCTCTATCAGTTCTAAATTGTTCTCCCTAGACGTCCAGTATAAGGATCATCTCTTATTGATTCAGTTACTAGAGGAGGAAACCTAAACTAAACTAACTTTATTTATACTGTATAGCTCTATCAGTCCTAAACTGTTCTTCATAGAGGTCCAGTAAGGATCATCTCTTATTGCTCCAGTGTTACTACAGGAGGAAACCTAAACTAAACTAACTTTATTTATACTGGATAGCTCTATCAGTTCTAAACTGTTCTTCCTAGAGGTCCAGTAAGGATCATCTCTTATTGATCCAGTGTTACAAGAGGAGGAAACCTAAACTAAACTAACTTTATTTATACTGGATAGCTCTAACTGTTCTTCCAAAAGGTTGTCGACCATCAAGGAACAAAAACTTCAACGTTACAAAATAAACAAATACTCGCCATCAAGCTTAGCACGATGTTGCAAGCCCCTCGTCCATGCGAAGATAGATGCTATAGAAAAACGGAATCGCAATGAATCACAATTTGAAGGAATCTTATTTGCACAATGTGCGCGACTTACCCACAGGATTAGTGGACGTTTCCTTCCCCTGTTGATGCATGCGATAGTGACGTGTGACAGTGCCGTGAGCTGCTTCAGACTCCACTGTTTTACCATCCGGGCACACTAGAACACTCGTCATAAGTCCCAGTGATCCGTAACCTGAAGATAGTTGGAACTTTTGAGATTTGCTGTGTTGGTGTATTGTACTCAGGTGAATAAGATGCTTGTGTGATGGGGTGAATAAGATGCTTACTCTGAGTGTATATCCACACCGGGCAGGCTTGAAAAATATGCCTGGCCACGGTGGGAATCGAACCTACGACCTTTGGAATACTAGCCCAATGCTCTGCCAACTGAGCTACGCAGTCAGGTCGGTTCGTGTATGCGATATTTCGGAACTGAGTCTAGTTTCTTCGATATCAGTGGTAATAGTCATGAATATAAATACGTATGTATGTAAAACTTTATTTAAAGCGCGACTAACCCATTTATTGAACAGTTTTTTGAGATTTGGGGCGGTGTGGTGATTCAGTATTTTATACATAAAGACGGCATCTTTTATGAAATGTCTTCCATCCTAGGTTTTCCAAAGGCTCCCTCCCTTACCTTGTGCAACAGAGTCAGACTGTACATCACCATCGTAATTTTTACACGCCCAGACAAAGCCTCCATCACTCTTCAAGGCGTAGGCCACCATATCATCTATCAAACGATGTTCATACCACAGACCTTGTGACTCAAACTTCGATTTGTACTCACTAAAACACACCGCATACATTTACCCTTCAACACTCTTAAACAACTTGTTTATAAATATATGATTTTAGTTCCTGAAGGACTGTGTGACGCAAGATATATCTGTTTTTACCTTTTGTATATCTCTTCAAAGATATCTTTAAATCGTCCATCATATTTCTTGAGAATTGTATTCTTAGTACTGTAACAAAGAAAATAAATTAAATAATCGAACTCGAACAATCTTATATGTTTTTATTAAGTTTTTCATAATAGTTATGTTAGACTCTAATAGACAATTCTCATTATAGATTAATTTTTTTATCTTGGCAAAAAAGTATATTCCCGGAAAGAATTTGGGCTGAAAATGGTAGCAATTTCCGCACGCAATACCAAAGTATACTGACAAAATTGGCAAACTTTGCAAGGCTATATTTTCCGCATTTTACAACCAAACTTTGCAATTTTACTCATTTTAGTATGCTCTTTCTAGCTGTGGTGATTTATTTGCATCTCCTTGCCTAGTTTTAAAATTAGTCTATAATGGGAATTGTCTATTGGGAAAACGGCGTATGATGCAGATTTTTTTACTGTAGCTAACATTGTGAAAGTGTTGACGAGTGTCTTACCTCATATATAGTGGATAGTTTCTTTGCAATGCAAACTGGAATGAACTGTGAGCAAAGCCTCTTATTGACTAGAGCAAGAGAAAAGGATTCGTGATGAGAATGGGTTTAACCATGGCAGGAAAAATAATTTTCTCCCTGGTATCACAACTTGGAGACAAAAATTTCTTGCAGACCAACGGAGTATTTTTGTGTTAAATCTGCATGTACATAAACATATAGTGTTCTAGCTGACCATGGTTTTAAATTCGAGGAATAATGTCTGTCAACCATATGTTGTTGCGCCCATAGTGGGACATAGGTGTTAAGGTTTCCTTCAAATGTCAATAGCAAATCTTCATTCAAACAAATGTGCTGCAGCTGTTTAACATTTCCTGCGAGCAGTGCTCGCCTATTTTTCCACCCCTGGGTTTAACACACAGGATGGAAAAGTAAGGGAGGGGGGACGAGAAGGGAGGAAATGAAAAAAAGAAATGAAGGAAGGAGTGAGTAAAGAAGAAAGGAGGACTGAGGTAGAGAGAAGGAAGATGGAAAGAAAGAAAGGAGAGAAGAACGAAGTGAAGAAAGAGAGGAAAAGAAAGGAGGGGAGGAAATGAAGAAAGGAACGAAGAATGGAATGAAGGAAGGAGGGGGTGAAGAAGGAAGACCTGTGGTAGACAGGAGGAAGATGGAAAGAAAGAAAGGAGAGAAGAACGAAGTGAAGAAAGAGAGGAAAGGAAAGGAGGGGAGGAAATGAAGAAAGGAACGAAGAAAGAAATGAAGAATGGAATGAAGGAAAGAGGGGGTGAAGAAGGAAGAAAGGAGGACCTGTGGTAGACAGGGGGAAGATGAAAAGAAAGAAAGGAGAGATGTGAAGAACAAAGTGAAGAAAGAGAGGGAAGGAAAGGAGGAAAGGAAGAGAAGAAAGGAATGAAGAAATGAATAAAGATGGAACACAGAAACAAAGGAAGAATTAACAAGAGTTCTACCTCATCAGTGTTATACATCCCCATGGCAACACCACCGCCATTCTTAAAAGCATGAACTTCATAAATGACAGCTTCTCCGCCATCTGCAGGTCTATAGACTAGCTCCAGTTTCCCAGAGGCTGGCACGACAAAATCTGTTGCTTTATACTGGAAAATATAGAGTAAAAATAAGTTAAGTAACAATGGTTGGCTCGCAAGTTGGTTCATTGATTGTACGACCAACCGACTGACAACCCGAACAAAAACTCAACTTATGCTAACCTGGTCGGCATGGGCATGACGTCCGATGATTATTGGTTTTTCCCATCCTTTAACGAGTCGAGGAATATTCTTGCATAATATTGGTTCTCTAAAAACGGTTCCTCCTAAAATATTTCTTATTGTCCCGTTTGGCGACTTCCACATCTTCTTGAGTTTAAATTCTGACAAAAATATAAAATTTGAAGTTGAATTTGACAGTCAATGTTGACACATACATATAGGAGAAGAAAAAAACAAACTAAATTTCTCAATTCTATTTACTTGCATGATACATCCGCATGCAAATTATACAAAGACAAACTTAATTATTTAACCCATAAAACTGCAGAGCTTCCCCATTGACAAGTAAAATCGTCTGGTGTTAGACAAGTAAAAAAATAAGTAGGGCACACTGGGGTGCAATGCAGTGCAATGGGTTAACTAGAGACATTGGCCATTTTTTTTTGTCTGGCATTAGACAAGTAAAAAAATATAAGTAGGATGCACTGGGGTGCATTGCGGCTCAATGGGTTAATTCTTCAACAACACTTTTATTTTCAACCTTCTACTCGTTTCTCGTCTGGTGTAATAGTTGCACATTTTATGCCAACGTTACATCTTCTGATTGCTTCTGCTGCTTCAATAGTTACTATGAATAAATATTAATATTGTTAAATTAACTTTATTTATACTGAATTGCTCTGTCAGTTCTAAACTGTTCTCTCTAGAGGTCCAGTAATACATACCTTATTGATTAAGTGTTATACTACGTCAGGAGGAAATTTATACTGGATAGTGCTAACAGTTCTAAACAGTTCTCCCTAGAGGTCCAGTAAGGGTTGAATCAAATGCCTCTCTTAATAAAACTTACTTTGATCATTTGTTGCATCTCGACTTTCAATTCCAAGATCATAGAATTCTATTTTGACATCCACGTAAGGCAGAATTAATTTCTCTTTTATTAAGTCCCATATAATTCTGCAATTAGAACATAAAACCAAAACATAAAGACTGATTTGTGCAAAACTGTCCAAAGATTTATATGTTTGCACAGGAAATGAGCTGTCTGGTTTCATGCATCTTGCAGAAACACTGCTTAGGTAGACATGAATTCTTGTCTAAATTGCCAGGAAAAAGACATTAGAAAAGATGTTCAATGACATTCTGTAGGGGCAGCATAGCAATATTATTCGGGCAGTGATATCGCTTGCTTTGAAAATCAAACAAACAACATCCATACCCATCACTAGAGGAAAAAATTGTGTGCTCATGATATATCATGTGTGCTAATGATTTATCATCACATCACAGCTCAGACATATGTTGATGATAGGTATTGCATAATATTATTTACAATAAAATTTTCCGATGGGTTTTTAATAGTTTTTACAAAATCTACTTTTATTTATAGTTTATACACAAGATCTTAGCTTTATAGAGCTAAAAGATGTTCAAAAACAGACGTTGTGGAAAATTGTATACAAATTTATAGTAAATTTGCATAATCGCTTCGATGGTTTTAAATTGACATTTTAAAGAAATCTTTGTACCTCGTCATCTCATCCCCTTGCATTTCGACGACAGGATTGTTAACTATTGAAAATTTTAAAAGGAAAAAAACATAATTTTAACTATTGTTTTGATAATATAAACATATTTACTCTAAAGCGTTGGGCGTAGTAAATCGAGTTCGTTTAATTACATGTATTTTATATTAATAAACCGATTGCCTTGTACAGAAAATTTGCGACATATTTCACCACAAAGTTACAATATTAGAACGTGGATATATCAATATTATACATACCGATTATTTTCGACATCTTAGAGGGTTGTATTGTATAATTTCCCGGGGATATCGTTCAAATTATGTTAACCTTTGTACTACTGAATCGTATTGATATAATAAACAGCATGATAATTATTAAACTTCCGAGGAACAATATTACGAAATAACACCCGGTGTTTCCACTTTTGAGTTCTAAAAAAGGAAAATGGTCCCTGACCTCAAGAAATGACCTGGATGATTATGCTATACTTGCATTATCCAGATCAAGTTTTGAGATCAGTAATACCAGATACACCATCCAGTCATACATTTCAGATCAGTGACAGCACATCCACACTATCCAGATAAATCATAAGATCAAGTGCTCTTTCTACCCGTTTTATGGGAGAGAAACGTACAGGCAGAATAGAATGTGCGGGCTAGATGTGCAAGCGCGGGAAAATTGAAATTTTAAAAAAGTTTTTCTTTTTTGAAAAAAAAGTTTTGTTGCAGAAAAACTTTTTTGAATGAAAATAACGTATAAAAACTTATAAAAACTTGCAAAAAGTTTGTTTTCTCAACATGAGAAATGTTAGAAAAAGTTCAGATAACTGCAAAATTGTACAGCCTACGAAAAAGGTTTGTTTTTAATTGTTTGTTTATATTAATGTTCATTAAGTTGTTTTATATATGTTTTGTGAACATTGTTTCCTATCTTAACACCGTATAATATTCCAGGGTCTTAAAAGATTAAAGCCCAATAACAATATTGGAAATTCCCTCATGAAAAAACTTGAACCAACGCTACCCTTGCTACGAAAACCAACGAAATTCAAATCTCCTTACAAAAGCCCTCAAATATTGAAGAAAACTCAGAATGAAAACGAAGAACCAATATCAACTCTTTCCAACCGAAGTTTAGACAAACCAGCTCAAAATGAAGTACAATCCAACGCAAATATTATCAACAAAAACTTAACTAAACTTGGTGAAACTGATGTTAAACAACTTGACGATGAAACCAGATGTGGAAAGGGTCTTGCCAGAAATGAGAAAGTCATTGATGCCACAATGTCTTTGCCTAAGATGTCTTCGGTGAAAATACAGCCAATTGATCCGTACAAGTTTTGTGAACCAATTTTGAAAGAGTGTGCAAGAAGTAGCGTTGCACAGAAAGATATGGTGTTTAAAAGATCCAAGGAGGAACAAGTATGTGTTGGAAATGCTTTATAAGATTATGGATTTTATATTTATTCATCAACCATCATGATCATTATTGTACCCACTATCACCACCATCATTATTACTGTCATCACCACCATCATCATGGTGATGTTACCACTTACCACCTTCAACACAACATCAACCATCACCATTATCACTACCACCATCATCACACCACCATCATCATCACCAACATCATTATCACCATCATCACACCACCATCATCATCACCAACATCATCATCACCATCATCACACCACCATCATCATCACCAACATCATTATCACCACATCACACCACCATCATCATCACCAACATCATGGTGATGTTAACACTTACCACCTTCAACACAACATCAACCATCACCATTATCACTACCACATCCACCACCATCACCATCATCACCAACATCATTATCACCATCATCACACCACCATCATCATCACCAACACCATGGTGATGTTAACACTTACCACCTTCAACACAACATCAACCATCACCATCATCGCCACCACATCCACCATCATCACCATCATCAGCAGCACCATCATCACCACCATCATCACCACCATCATCACCATCATCATCACCACCTTATCATCACCATCATCATCATATCACCACCTTATCATCGCCATCATCATCAGCACCATCATCACCACCATTATCACCACCATTATCACATCACACCATCATCAGCACCACATCCACCACCATCATCAGCACCATCATCAGCACCATTATCACCATCATCATCGAATCATCACTACACCATATACCTCTATCACCATCATCATCATCATCAACACCACATCCACCACCATCATCAGCACCATCATCACCACCATTATCACCACCATTATCACCACCACCATCATCACCACCACCACATCCACCACCATCATCAGCACCATCATCAGCACCACATCCACCACCATCATCAGCACCATCATCAGCACCATTATCACCATCATCACTGGATCATCACCACACCATCATCATCGAATCATCACTACACCATATACCTCTATCACCATCATCATCATCAACAATGTAACAACTTAATTTTCAAACATTTCAGAGTAGAGTGAATGAGGAGGTCCTCGCTCTAATCAGGAGGACGGCTGAAGCGATTAAAGTGATTCGGTCACAACACGAAGTATGGAAGAAAAACCAACAATAAAGGTAAGAAAGTTTATACATTTACATCGAAGTGGACCTGATTTGTACATGGTTAATGGAAGGGAGACATATTGATCGTGTGATTAAATAGAGAATAATTCATGGGTGCGCGGAAATATCAGATTTATTTCTCGTGTTGAACATGGTATATAAAGGACAGTTTTGAAAAGCGATAATTTTTACAGAAAAGCGATAATTGAAAAGCGACTGTGATCACAGTAGGAATTTTGCATGGGTAAATTCTAAGTTTTGAAGGATTTGTAAGAAATCGGTTTGAGGAAACTGGCTTAATGTTAAACACTGAATCTGTTCCTCAAACATTTCTTACAAATCCTTCAAAACTTAGAATTCACCTATGCAAAATTCCTACTGTGATCACAGAAACTTTGATAGTGTAAACCACGCTATATTAACCGTGATTTGAACACTTCTTCAACAATGTCAATTCGACATTGACACACTTGTTAATGGTGCTTGAGCGCTTTTTGTCAACGCGCGCCTTTGCGCACATGTCATTCCTGAATTCCTTCCGTTCAATTTGAACGAAATGCTGCTCTGACATGTTCGCACCGAGAAAATTCTACATGCAGAAGGGAAACAGGGCGTTTATTTGTTCCGCTCGTTTGACTGTTTGCGCGCAGCAGACGCTTTTGTGTATAGTGGAATATCCAAGCGCAGAAACACACGCGGCAATAATCAGCATGATTTACGAGAGTTTTACAAGGCTTTTCTCATTAATTAATACAACTGTACAAGTAAATAACGATTCATCTTTGAATATATATGTACAATATACAATAATAAAATTCTTACATTTTTATTAGGCCCCTTGAAAGACTTGAAATTTGGAATACCGGTAGCCTGCGTAGCGGCTCTCAAATCTGAGAGCCGCTACGCAGGCTAGAATACTGGAATATTCAAGGGCATGAAAGACACGTTAAATAATTACCATGAGTCCATGATATACAGTATGTTTGTGATGTTGTCTTGAGTGTGTCTATACCGGGATAGCTGAAACGTTTTCTCGGCGTGGACAGAGAGAACTGATCCACACAGAGAAAATCACAAACATATATCTTCACCGAAATGCACAACACCACAAGCAAAAAAATTACCATGGTTCCCAAGAGTTTTAATATTACTCTTCTCATTAATACAGTAAAAAACTATTCATCTTTGAATACGCACAATATACAATAATGAAATTCTTACATTTCTATCAGGTTTCTTCATAATGAAAGACTTGAAATTTGAACCCATTCGCAAAGTGATTTTCAGAGAACGTTTATTTACACATCAGAACTTTAATGTTGATGAAAAATTGAGTTATTTGCAGGATAACCATTTAATAATACGTTCAAATAATAATTATCAAAATGATTCATTAATGACACAATAATTGTTGAGAACTGGAAGTTTGATTTTGATTTTATACTTTATAAATAATTATTCATTATCATATTAAAGGGGAAGTCAAGTCCGTTCTGCGCATCGGTTCTGCGCATAACAATAGAGGGCCCTCTGAGGTAAACATTGCCCAAATTTTGAATGTTTCGAATTTTTCTGAACACAAACTCTATTTCATATTCATGTAGAAGCATAACGAACCAAAATGGTGTCAGATATTCAGACAGTACATCATATTTTAAAAAATACAGCAGTTCAAAATGTAAACAAACCGTTTGTTTACATTACGGACTTGACTTCCCCTTTAATCTTTATAATCTACTAGCCTAAATATAAGTTTTGCAATGTATAGGTGTTCTCCAATATAATTACTATTGAACCTGTTTTTAATGCATGGAGTGTCAGTGTTTATCTCATCAATAAATTCAATACATACTTTATATATACGATAATGACCAATTTTACAAATACGATATTGACCAATTTTCTTTGCACATAGAAACATTATGTATATAATAGACCCTAGAATTGCTTATGTCACACAATTTGTCACAAATTTGAATACAGAGGACATCTGGAATGCACAGTGCATTGTGAGATACATATGATGCATGATTTAGAGTGTATTATCAAGTATATACTCTGGTGACAGTGTTACAAGTGTTACACTATCTTTATGTAGGGGTAGGGGTTAGGAGTAGGGTTAGGGGTGGGGTTAGGGGTGGGGTTAGGGGTGGGGTTAGGAGTAGTGTGTGTAACACTATGTAACACTATGTAACACTGTCAATACTCTGTAGCACTATGTAGCACTGTGGAACACTATGTAACAATGTGTAACACTATGTAACACTATGTAACACTGTGTAACACTATGTAGCACTGGAACACTATGTAACACTATGTAACACTGTCAACACTATGTAACACTATGTAACACTGTCAACACTCTGTAGCACTATGCAGCACTGTGGAACACTATGTAACAATGTGTAACACAATGTAACACTATGTAACACTGTGTAACACTATGTAGCACTGGAACACTATGTAAGAATATGCAACATTGTTTAACACTGTGTAACACTGTGTAACAGTGTTACAACTGAGTGCCATAATAAAGCCACTCTAAATCATGCATGGTATACCATACGTTTGGGTCAATAATTCATTGTTTAATAATTATGTGACGTAAGCGCTTCCAAGTGCATTATTTACTTATTTACAAACTTAGCCATGTCAGGTGAGCTCTTAAAAGCCTCAAGTATCCACAGTAGACTAACGTCCAAAGCTGCGGCTGTTTTACGCACATGTTACAACTGGATAGAATGCTTTTGTGTAACACATATGGTCTTGAGCATGTCTGTGTCTTCAAAAAGAAATTGGAGAAATATAATTAGTACATTATATATAAAACTGATAGAACTATGAGGGTGGTTTCTGTGATCACAGTAAGAATTTTGCATGGGTAAATATTCTAAGTTTTGAAGGTTTTGTAAGAAATGTTTGCGGCATCCGACTCAGTTTTAAACAATGAACAATTTACGCATGCAAAATTCCTACTGTGATCACAGAAACTTTGATAGTGTAAATGAGCCTATGACCACAAGCATTCAGACAGGCAGCTGTTCAACGTTAGTTCAATATGCTATACTTTGTAAATTTGTCTTTTACCTAACACAAAACTGTCTTTGACATTGATCACAATGAAAAGGCAACACTTCATGTCGTTTGCAACCTTTAAATGTACATCTTTTTTCTTTCTTTGGCTTCTGACTGACGACAAGTTCCTTACAGCCACTTTGAATATGATAGCTCACCTAAATATTGTGTCAAAATTCTCGTTTATAATTATGCACACTCGCATTTTAAATATGATAAAACACTCCTACACATGTTTTAAATAGTACATAATTATCTGGTATAAAATAATACATCATCTAACCTGAGTATTGGCATCTTGGTTTCTCGACTTCTTTACAATCTGCCCACACAGGGGACATATTGGTACATGAATCTACATTAATAAATTAACACACTTTATTTCAAACAGAAGTCATGACGTAATTTATTCAAAATGTTAACATTCTTATTCAAACTATAAAAATCTATACACATGTATTCAAACAACAATGAATCTTACATCGGTCCCATAATTTTTTGGACATTGGTGTGATTCCGCTGTCCTGTGTTCTAGACTATAAATTAGAATAAAATTTGACATCAGATATGGTTTGACTCCCTACTCAGGTTTAACAGCTTTATTGGTTAATATTTTGTTATTGTTTTGACAGTAAATTAAAAATAGCTTGCGGCGGTATCTTTGAACTTTCATCCCGGCAACTGGGCTAGCCCACTCGCGAGTGTTTATATGGAGAAATTTCCATCCCGGTAAGCAAGATCTTGCCTCTTTCAAGCAAGATCTCAGCAACCGGGCTAGCCCGCTTGTCCATATAAACGCACAATAATTTTTACTATAAAAATAACTAGACAGCGAGATCTCGCTTATCGGGCTGCCTCGCTTAGCGGGCCATACCCGGTTTCCATATGAACAGGCCCTAAGCGAGTTCTACTGTGCTAGACTTGTTGAGTCATGAATAAAAGTTGTTACAAAATGTTACAAAAAATATGGTGTTACATTAATTAAATATGTTACAAATCTGTCAACATGAAACTCCATTGAAGTTTGAAGCAAAATTATAATAGAAGATTGAAGCAATCTATTAAGATATTGAAGATTGATCAAAACTCAAATCAAAAACAAAAATCCCGACATACCAAAAGGTTTCTTGACAGAAAGTGCATTTAAATGGTAGAAAATCTAGTTGCTTGCAATGTTCAACAAAACAATGTTTCCCCAACGAAATCAGGTCGGCATTTTCAGCCATTGTCATAAATATTCCTTCTTGATGTATAATATAAATGTCTTGACGAAGCAAGCAGTGTTTTTATATCAAGAACGTTCGTAAAAATAAAACTTTGTGTCATTGTTGTGTTTTCGTCTTGTCATTGCATTGTCATCATGACGAATCAAAATATGATAGAGTATGATAGTATTTGATGTTATAGGATGTTATATGATGCTATATGATAGTATATGATGTTATATGATAGTATTTGATGTTATAGGATCTTATATGATGCTATATGATGTCATATGATAGTGCATGATAGTATAGGACAGTATATGATAATATATGATAGTACATGATGTTATAGGATGTTAGAGGATGCTATATGATAGTATATGATGTTATATGATGCTATATAATAGTGTATGATAGTACAGGACATTTTATGATGATAGTATATGATGTTATAGGATAGTGTATGTTGTTGTATGATAGTGTATTAAATTATTCCATTTGAGACCAATTTCCTATAAGAATAGGTACGCACTAACGCACGCGAACAAGCGCTGTTCTATCATCATTTTGAAAACGTCACTGTTCTCCAGTGACTCATTGCTTCGACATATTTTTGACGTTATGCAAAGGCCTAGTAAACAAGCATTTTTAAACTACAAGTTACTATCGCAAGGAAAGTGCTGCCTTATCCCGCCTTCAATTGACCACTTGCGTAATAGACTAAATTTTGATCTTTCAAGCTGTAATGATACAGCTTGAAAGAGCATCACAAAATTAGTAATATTCCAAAGTTTCGTTACGAAATGTTGTAAAATGCGGATAATATATCTTGCGAAGTTTGCAATTTTCAGTCATTTTAGATTGCAAACCCTTTGAGGCTGTCAATTTCCGGTTTGTAATCTAAAATGACTGAAAATTGCAAACTTCGTAAGGCTATATTTTCCGCATTTTAGAACATTTCGCAACGAACCTTTGGAATATTACTAATTTTGTGATGCTCTTTCAAGCTGTGATGAAATTTTTGTTTAGACTTGTTTAGATCAAAATTTAGTCTATTACGCAAATGGTCAATTACTCATTATTTTGACAGATTTTTGACATTATGCAAAAGCCTAGTAAACAAGCATTTTAAATCATCAGGAAACCAATAATTAATTTCGCTGCTAAAATTGGAACAATATAACCTATAATACTTTTTGTTTGTGGAAACACTACAAACATGATCAGTGCTCAGATCCGGGCTTACGTTTCGAAAGTTTTGCAGAAATAAATGGACCATTTGCATTATAGACTAAATTTTGATCTAGACAAAAATTTCATCACAGCTTGAAAGAGCATCACAAAATTAGTAATATTCCAAAGTTTCGTCGCGAAATGTTGTAAAATGCCGATAATATAGCCTTGCTAAATTTGCAATTTCAGTCATTTTGTAATACAAACGGGAAATTGATGCCCCAACACCCGATTGGGCTGTCAATTTCCCGTGCGTAATACAAAATGACTGAAAAACGGCAAACTTCGCATGGCTATATTATCCGCATTTTACAACATTTCGCAACGAAACTTTGGAATATTACTAATTTTGTGATGCTCTTTCAAGCTGTGATGAAATTTCTGTCTAGATCAAAATTTAGTCTATAATGCAAATGGTCCATTGACACATCACATACGCCAAACACCGCCTTACGTCATTGCAATTAATTTCAATTTTTTTAATTTTCTTAACAATTTTTAATTTCCACTTGCTATTTTTACGATAAAGTAAACTAAAAAAAAATAATCAATTTGTGATAATTCACTCCATCAGCTTTCGTAACCGCAGGTGAAAACAGTGATTAATAATTTTACCGTCATTATTTCACATTACTAGAGAGCCGCTTAATTATATAAGCTTCGCGTTCACAAACGACAAACCGTCAGGCAAATTAGGAAAAAAATTTACGCCATAAAGCAATAAAAAGTAAATTGGCTTGTTGTTTTATAACTAGAATGTTTAACTATTCCTGTGTCAAATCCAGTAATCAGTATAAATAAAGTTAGTTTAGGTTTCCTCCTGTAGTAACACTGGATCAATAAGAGATGATCCTTACTAGACCTCTATATAGGAAGAACAGTTCAGAACTGATAGAGCTATCCAGTATAAACAAAGCTAGTTTAGTTTAGGTTTCCTCCTGTAGTAACACAGGATCAATGAGGGAAGTGAAAAACATATAGTTAATGAATCAGAATATTAATGAGTAAATTAAAACATTCTTAATGAAAAATCTAATATTAGTGAAATATTTTCGGTTATGTTTTCATCAAATGTCAACATTTTGTATGAATGACAGACGAACAGTGCAATTAGTGTTAATAAAAAAGTCTACGAAGTCATTATTAATGACAAATGAAAAATAGTCTTAAATACTTAATGAAATATTTTCAAATGAAAAATAGTCTTTATGAGGTATTTTCGGTATATTTTCATTCGTGTCATCATTTTGGGCAATGCAAGATAAACAGCGCATAAGTGATAATAAAAGTGTATGAAGGAATATTAAGAAAGGCCAACTGCATTTACTCGTACTGATAAACTATTTAAACATAAAAACGATTGTTGTCACACTGGAGCAACACTAATTCAAGATGAACAACAACACGGAATGGAGTCCAGGCGATATTCACATGGCAATCGTTGGCTTAAACATTACTCTCGGATCTTCAGCTATGCTCTTAAACTTTCTCTTGTTGTTGGTGCTTTATTTCGACCCTATTAAAAAGTTCCGAACTCCGGGGACAGTTTTAGTCACAAATTTGGCAATTACCGATGGCTTGACTGGCCTGTTTGTCATGCTTCGAATGGTGTTCATTCTCAGTGGATCTTATCAAACTATGGCATATTTCCATTATTATGCATTATATACAATGCAGTCCTCGTTATTTACAGTATTATTTATAACCGGGGAAAGATTTTTCGCCGTGGCGTATCCCATATTTTTCAAAGTCCATGTTACAAAACTTCGCATGTTTTGGCTATCGCTGGTCGGTTGGGTATTTCCACCCATTTTGCTCAACTTATCCGTAATAACAGGCGACCGATCTTACAGGATATCATTCCTAACATCCGCAAGTTTAAATTTTCTGCTAATATCTTTGATCATAGCGGGTTATTGTCGTGTTTATAAAATCCTGAAGCAACAAGAAATTAATATGGGCCGCTATGGTGAGCCTTGTGGAACTCCACGAAATCAATCCATAAAAAGAAAACGAATCACTTTAACCGAAAATAAGCGGTTGACAAAGACGTTCCTAGTTATAACGATTATATTGATGATCACAGTACTTCCTATGATATTTCTCACAAGCATCATAGCTCTGTGTTCAACAGAATGTGTGACAATGGCAATAAAGGCGTATTTTCTATTGGAACCAGTGCTGCTGATAAATTTTAATTTAAATCCGCTAGTTTATGCGTTTCAACTCCCAACATACAGACAAGCATTTTTGACGGTGTTCAGATGTAGAAAAAATGCAAATGCAGTACAGCCCGAGGTTATTGAAATAAGATGAAGGGCAAAAGGGGGTTTTTGGCGTCCACTCTCGATAGGGTTTGCGTATGGAAATTCACGGTGTCCACCCTTTGGTGGAGGTGAAATTCAAGAACTTTTCCAGGACTTTCAAAACCCTTTCTCGGTAAATTCGAGGACCTAGAACTGGGAGAAAATCTTTGAAAATGGCACGGATTTGCCCCTCTTCGAAATAACAAAATCACTAATGTTGGCACGGCTGGAGGTTAAGGAAATTAATTCCAGGACTTTCAAGGACTTCTACTGATTTTCAACGACTTTCCAGTTCTGGAAATTATTTTTTCCAATTCAAGGACTTTCCAGGATTTTTCAAGGCCTTGTGGACACCCTGGACATTCCAAGTGTGAATTTTATATACATTTATTAGACTAACCAAAAGTCCAAAAGCTG